CCACTCTTCCAGAAGGTCTCCTTTATTTTTTATCTTTGGTTTATTTATTCATTTAGTCATATGTGCATTCATTGTTTGGGCCATCTCTCCCCACTCAGAAGGTCTCTGTTAGAATTTTCCCCACCACAGCATCCTAACAATATCAGAGACAGACAGCTACAGACCAGATTTCTTTTTCTTTTTTTTTATTTTCTTTTATTATTCATATGTGCATACAAGGCTTGGGTCATTTCTCCCCCCTGCCCCCACCCCCTCCCTTACCACCCACTCCGCCCCCTCCCTTTCCCCCACCATCCCCTCAATACCCAGCATAAACTATTTTGCCCTTATCTCTAATTTTGTTGTAGAGAGAGTATAAGCAATAATAGGAAGGAACAAGGGTTTTTGCTGGTTGAGATAAGGATAGCTATACAGGGAGTTGACTCACATTGATTTCCTGTGCGTGGGTGTTACCTTCTAGGTTAATTCTTTTTGATCTAACCTTTTCTCTAGTTCCTGGTCCCCTTCTCCTATTGGCCTCAGTTGCTTTTAGGGTATCTGCTTTAGTTTCTCTGCGTTAAGGGCAACAAATGCTAGCTAATTTTTTAGGTGTCTTACCTATCCTCACCCCTCCCTTGTGTGCTCTCGCTTTTATCATGTGCTCAAAGTCCAATCCCCTTGTTGTGTTTGCCCTTGATCTAATGTCCACATATGAGGGAGAACATACGATTTTTGGTCTTTTGGACCAGGCTAACCTCACTCAGAATGATGTTCTCCAGTTCCATCCATTTACCAGTGAATGATAACATTTCGTTCTTCTTCACGGCTGTATACAATTCCATTGAGTATAAATACCACAGTTTCTTGATCCATTCATCAGTAGGGGGGCATCTTAGTTGTTCCATAACTTGGCTATTGTGAATAGTGCCGCAATAAACATGGATGTGCAGGTGCCTCTGGAGTAACAGTCTTTTGGGTATATCCCCAAGAGTGGTACTGCTGGATCATATGGTAGATCAATGTTTAGCTTTTTGAGTAGCCTCCAAATTTTTTTCCAGAGTGGTTGTACTAGTTTACATTCCCACCAACAGTCTAAGAGGGTTCCTTTTTCCCCCCGCATCCCCGCCAACACCTGTTGTTGGTGGTGTTGCTAATGATGGCTATTCTAACAGGGGGGAGGTGGAATCTTAGTGTGGTTTTAATTTGCATTTCCTTTATTGCTAGAGATGGTGAGCATTTTTTCATGTGTTTTTTTGACCATTTGAATTTCTTCTTTTGAGAAAGTTCTGTTTAGTTCACTTGCCCATTTCTTTATGGTTCATTAATTTTGGGAGAATTTAGTTTTTTAAGTTCTCTATATATTCTGGTTATCAGTCCTTTGTCTGATGTATAGCTGGCAAATATTTTCTCCCACTCTGTGGGTGTTCTCTTCAGTTTAGAGACCATTTCTTTTGTTGAGCAGAAGCTTTTTAGTTTTATGAGTTCCCATTTATCTATGCTATCTCTTAGTTGCTGTGCTGCTGGGGTTTCGTTGAGAAAGTTCTTACCTATACCTACTAACCCCAGAGTATTTCCTACTCTTTCCTGTATCAACTTTAGAGTTTGGGGTCTAATATTAAGATCCTTGATCCATTTTGAGTTAATATTGGTATAGAGTGATATACATGGATCTAGTTTCAGTTTTTTGCAGACTGCTAACCAGTTTTCCCAGCAGTTTTTGTTGAAGAGGCTGCTATTTTTCCATCGTATATTTTTAGCTCCTTTGTCAAAGACAAGTTGGTTATAGTTGTGTGGCTTCATATCTGGGTCCTCTATTCTGTTCCACTGGTCTTCATGTCTGTTTTTGTGCCAGTACCATGCTGTTTTTATTGTTATTGCTTTGTAATATAGTTTGAAGTCAGGTATTGTGATACCTCCTGCATTGTTCTTTTGACTGAGTATTGCCTTGGCTATTCGTGGCCTCTTGTGTTTCCATATAAATTTAACGGTAGATTTTTCGATCTCTTTAATGAATGTCATTGGAATTTTGATGGGAATTGCATTAAACATGTAGATTACTTTAGGGAGTATAGACGTTTTTACTATGTTGATTCTACCAATCCATGAGAATGGGAGACTCTCCACTTTCTATAGTCTTCCTCAATCTCTTTCTTCAGAAGTGTATAGTTTTCCTTGTAGAGCTCATTCACATCTTTTGTTAGGTTTACACCTAGGTATTTGATTTTTTTTGAGGCTACTGTAAATAGAATTGTTTTCATACATTGTTTTTCAGTTTGCTCATTGTTAGTGTCAGACCAGATTTCTTAAGTGGTCTATTTGTTTGTAACTTTCCTTTTTTTTTTTTTTTCTGGTACTGGGGTTTGAACTCAAGGAATTCTGTTAGGTTAGGCGCTCTACCACTGAGCTACTCCCTTAATCCTTTTTGCTTTAATTATTATTATTATTTTTTCAGTACTGGGGCTTGAATTCATAGCCTTCACCTTGAGCCACTCCACCAGCCCTATTTTTTTGAAGGGTTTTCTTGGAATTGTTTGCCCCTGCTGGCTTTGAACTGAGATCCTCCTGATCTCTGCCTCCTGGAGTAACTAGGGTTACAGGCACAAGCCACTGGCGCCTGGCTGCTTTAATTATTTTTCAAATAAGTTCTCATATTTATGTTTGGTCAGCCTGACCTTGATCTTCATGTCGATACTTCCCACCATAGTTGGCATGACAGGTGCATGTCATTTGTTTGTATCTTTTAGAGACAATATAATTTCTTTTTCTGTTAAGTTTCCCAGCTACAAGGGCTAGAGGTCTGAGTGTGGTGACTACCCTAGTGTGCTCAGAGGTGCACAAGACTTCTGCAGTTTGGCAAATGGTTGTTTCCTCTGGTCTACCGGTAGAGAAGGGACCATTGAATGGAGGGATGTTGTTGGAACTGTGTAGGGAGTGGAGAAGTTACCTTGACCTTGTTCCTTTTTCAACTCCTTTTCTCTCTGCCCCAGATAGCTGCTCTTCCTCTTCTGGGATTCCCTTTCCTGGTGTCTTTTGGAGTGGTGGCACAAGGTGTAGTGGCACAAGGACCCTCTGAGGGTTCTCCAGGGAAGGATGGGGAGGCCTACAGGGTTTGTGTTTGCCCTCTCTGCTAAGCACTGTAGAACAATGCCTATTGTCCCTACCTGTGGGTTGGGATTGGTGCAAGGGTTTCTAAAACAGGAGGCAATTGGTTCTCTCTGGTTCACCTGCTCATATGCTGCCACCTAGTGGTTCCTCCTCCTTTAGCACCCTGTGCAAAGAGGAGGGACATTGTGGACACTTCTACACTGCCTTTTATTGTACTTTTTCCCCCTCCCACACCTAAATTGTCCTCTACACTTTTTTTAACCTCTTTATCCACCAAACACAAAAACATTTCCTTTTTTTATTGCCGGATCAGAAAGTCTAGAAAATGAATAGTTGATTTTTTTTTTCTTTGAGACCCTATTTACTGACATCCCTGGGTGCTGCCTGATTTCTCTTCTGTGCTAATGAGAGCTGAAACCTTGCTCCACGGTGGCAGGGTTGTGGTCCTTACAGAGAGAAGAAAGCCTCTGCCAACACAGGTCTGCTCTGAATAGGCAGTTCCAGTAATAAAATTCCTAGAGCTCCTCACGTCTCCGTCTTTCAACATTTCTCATACAGAGTCAGGCAATATAACAGCTAATCGTCACCAAGCAGTTACTGTGGCATTGTCCTAAAACCCTTTCACCTTCCTAATTATCTAATGACCTACCGAGATCAAGTATACCCTTTCTACGGAGAGGAAATAGAGGCAAAAAGGTCAAAGGACTTTCTGGGGAGAGCCTAATAAACAAGGAGGTAGGATTTATTCACGGGTTGTCTAGTTCGGGAGTTTATGGTGTTTTTTTTGTACAAATCCTGGTACTGGCGTTTGAACTCAGGGTCTTGTGCTTGCCAGGCGGGTGCTCTAGCACTTGAGCCACGCCCTCAGCCCTTTTTGCTTTAGTATTTTTTGAATAGGGTCTTGCATTTATGCCCAAGCTGGCCTGGACTGTGATTCTTTTATTTAGGCTTCCGCCTAGCTGGGATGAGAGGCATGTACCACTATGCCCAGCTTTTGATTGGGATGTGGGTCTTGCTAGCTTTTGGCCCAGGCTGTCCTTGAACCACAATCCTCTCAATCTCCCCCTCCCAAATAGCTACAGTTACAGGTGTGAGCCACTGCACCTGACCTTTGGAATTTATGTCTTTTTTGGTGGTGGGGGGGATGTTGAACTCAGGGTTTCATGTTTGCAAAGCAGGCACTCTACCACGTGAGCCACACCTCCAGTCCATTTTGCTCAGGTTATTTTGGAGATGGGGTCTCATGAACTATTTGCCTAGGCTGGCCTCCAATCTAAGCTCCTAAGCTCCTAAGATCCTAAGATCCTCCCTATCTTGGTCTTTCAAATAGCTAGGAATACAGGCGTGAGCCACCAGAACCCAGTTGGAGTTTATGCTCTTAATCATGTTAATTACTGTTTTGCTGCCTCTTCAATGCACAGAAAACCTGAGCTCAGGAACAGGAACAGGATATAGGAAAGTGAACCCAGGAGCTCTGCATGAGAGCATTCTCAATGGTCTTCCTCAGCTCTCATGTGGGACTTGGTACAGTACAGGATGCAGAGGGGTTGTTAACTGACTCAATGCCTAAAGAGAAATCTCCAATGTGCTTACTTGCTTCTGCCTCTGTCTCAGAGATTTATCACAGAAGAAGAAATGATGAAGTGGCCAACTAAGGAAGTCTGAAAAGTTGAACAGACACTGTCAGATCTGGGTTCTTGAGATGACTCTGCCATGTAAAGACAATTGCAAGGGTCCTTGCATGGGCTTTTGTTTTCTCTCTGTCCCTTTCCACCTAGGAGATGACAAGAATGCTTGGAGGCAGCACTTTGATACTATTTCAGAAAGGACTTCAACACCACCACACGTGACAAAAAGCAAATCTGCAGTTTATTTGTGCTTTGCAAGCCAAACAAAACAACCAGAGCAAAGGCCTCCTCCCAGGTTTCCTTCTCAGCACTTCTTTGTGATAAGCCTGTGGAAAGGGCAGGTGTGGGTGTGTGGGGTTGTGGGTACGTGTGGGGATAAGAGGCTGGTTTAGTAACAGTTTTGGTAAATGGGCCTCTTCCCACTTATTTTATTATGGTTACAGTCACACGTGGTGGCAGAGACTTGGTTCTGTTCAGTGAAGAGAGAGGTGAGTATGGTCAGAACAGGGAGTGGGAGCTCTTGACGATTTGTTTCTTCATAAATGCAGAACAGAAAGAAGAATGTGTCCTAAAGGGGGAAACACAGATTGCTTTAACGATTCAGAGTGGAGAAGTATGAATGGGAGTGGGAAGTCTTCCCTCCCACCATCTTGCACTCATGCCAATTCTCTGTCCTTGGAGGCAACCAATGTCATTACTTTCTTTCTCCTTCCAGAAATATCTCATACATATATAAACAAATAGGTATGTAGAGTCTCTTCTTCCTTTTTCTACAACCAGGTAAGTTTGGCCTGCCCTTCATTGCTGCTTTTTATACTTCCCAGCGTGTCTCAGAAAGTATTCCGTAATAGCTTCACTGTTGCATAGGGACGATTCTCTGAACCTACCGTAGTTACTTGACCGTTCTCTATTGAACAGTGAGGTCATGGCCACCCTTTGCTGTTATAGATGAGTAAGCTTGTGTGCGTATCACTTGGCCTGTGTGAAAGGACAGCTGTGGGATAAGTTCCTAGAAGTGGAATTGCTGGGCCAAAGAGTACGAAGTGATAAACAACGTTAAGTAAATGACAGAGTGAAGAGGGGTGGATTTGTTTAGATTTGACAGAAAAATTCCAAAACCCTTCTGCATTCATGGCCAGGAAACAATCCTCGTCAGGAAAGTCAGAAAGTCAACCTTGAGCGACAGCCTGAGTTGGTGCTTCATGGTTGCACAAGGCATCAGAGAGCAAGATTCATCCTTATGCATTTTCCTAAATGAATTTGCTCAGCTGCTGCACACTAGAGTGGCCCTGGGCTGGCAGAGTCCAAGGACAGTTTGTGTCACTGTCGCTTTGATGCTGTCCTTTAGCTCCCAGAGATAAAGGCTGCTCCCTTCTCAGGCTGGAAGATGGAGCTTGAGACTTCAGGTTCATCTTGGATGCCCTCCATCACTATCCTAATTCTAAATAAGACCCACTCTGCACAGAAGTGGCTCCTGCTGGCACGCCACCGAAACCAAGCACTCCCACTGTTTTAAATGTGATGTGGGGGCTGGGGTGTAGCTCAGTGGTACAGCACTTGCTTAGTGTACCCAAGGCCCTGGGTGTGATCCCCAGCACCACAAAAAACAAACAAAACCTCCCAAACACGAAGTGCTTTTTATTCATGAAACACAACCCTCTTCTGTAGTTTTAAAGGTAATCTGGTTATGTTCCATAGGAATCCTCACACTGGCTGCCTACCTTGGTCAGGCATATCACAGTATGCAGCCATTCCAGGGGAGAACTAAACCCTGACACATCGTGGTGCCACAAAATCTTAGTTGTCTCCTGGTATCCATTCTCCTCCTTTTATTTAATGATGCATGCTTTGTTTTTAAGCTTGATTAGGGACACTTAGAAGAAAGCTTTCTTTGCAGCTTGGTGTATTTATTATTTATTTATTTTGATGGAACGGGGGTGTGAACCCAGGGCCTTACGCTTGCTAGGCAGACGCTCTACCACTTGAGCCATGCCCCCAGCCCCTTCTTGTTTTAGTTATTTTTGAATAGGCTCCCAGGGCCAGCATCAGACCATGATTTTTCTATCTATGCTTCCTGCTAGGATTGCAGATGTGCCCCATAAAGCCTGGCTTGTTTGTCGAGATGCTATCTCACTAACTCTTTTCTTTTTTTTTTTTTTTAAACTAAGGCTGACCTTAGTTAGTTATCTCTACCTCCCAAGTAACTGTGATTACAGGTGCGCACTACTGTGCCTGGCAGTGTTGGTGTGTTTATATATCCAAGTCCTGGCTGATGGAATGCAAGCAGAAGTAGTGTGTGCAACATTTGTGGAGAATCCTCAAAGGGAGAGGATTTGCCCTTCTGTTTTCATGCCATCTTTCCTGCTGAGGAGCATGCAGTGATGATAGCTGGAGCTACAGCATCCATTTTGGCCATGAAATAATCTTGGGAATACTAGCCACACACAGTGAAGCAAAAAGAGAAAAAAACTTGGACCTGAATACCTCTGACCATTTACTTCCAGTTTGTTTTCTTTTTTGAGACAGGGTCTCACTATGTAGCCCAGGCTGGTCTCAAACTCATGATCCCCCTGCCTCTGCTTTCCAAGTGCTGGAATTATAGCCATGTGTCACCGTGCCTGGCTTACTTCCAGGTTTTTACAAAAGAGCAAAATTAATTTCTGTTAATTAAGTCACTGCTGTTTTGAATTTTCTGTCACTTTTAATTGAACCCAATCTTAAGAGGCATACTTTCCAAACTTAGGACAAAAAAAAAAAAAAAAAAAGAAAGAAAAACCCAAAAAACAATTGCAGACTCATTTTCTTTCCGTAGTGAATCAGATCACTAGCATTATTTTTGGAAATGAAGAAGAGCTAATTGGCTGACAGCCCTCAGCTTCACAGAGCGACAGTCATGGCTGACACTCTCCGTTCAGCTACCGGGCAGTGCACTAACGCTGGCTGATACTTACGCTTCATCTTTCTTCCGTTTCAAAGGCAGTGGTGAGATACTCCTTGGGAACAATCCCCACGAGGCTGTTTAGTTCTCCTACCCACCAGCCATACATGCTGTACTCCTGAAAAATGGAAAGAGAATGGCTGCAGTTAGAATTGGCTAACATCTCAGTGAACTCCTTGAGATTCCGCTGGATGGTTTCTTTGTTGGCACCTTCGATATGAACACCCCTGATGGTATTATTAAATTTAAAAAAGTCATCTAGAGGAGGTAGCTGGCACGTTCATTTTGCCCTTATCCTGTCTACATTTTAAGTGTAGCATATTTGATACAGTTGCTGAGACTCAAGGGTTTTTTTTTTTAAACACTTTTTTTTGGTACTGGGGTTTGAACTCAGGGTCTACACCTTGAGCCACTTCACCAGCCCTTTTTGTGAAGGGTTTTTTCGAGATAGGTCTTGCAAACTATTTGCCTGGGTTGGCTTCGAACCTCAAACCTCCTGATCTCTGCCTCCTGGGTAGTAGGATTACTGCTTCCTGACTTTAAATGTTTTCTTTTTTGTTGTTGTTTAAACCAAGCAGAATGGGATGGCTTTCTTAGAGGAAGTTGGGAACTCGCTAAAATGCTAGAACACTGAAGATATTCTGAGTCAGGTCATAGTTCAGATCAATACTATTTATCAAGCATCTTCTATGTACAAAGTGCTGTCTGAGTTCCCATGAGGTACAGAGCAATGAGTCAGAGCACTGCTTGTTCCTTGGGAGCGGACAGGATAGAGTAATGGGTTTTGGAGTCAGAGAGACTGGGAGCTAATCCCTGCTTGTCATTTAGTAGTTCTGTAACCTTGGGCTCTTCTAGCTTTGCCTTCCTCATCTGTAAGAGTGGGGATTGGATCGCTCCTTCCTGTGTTGGTGGGTATGTAAGTGGCACCATTGAAGCGAGGACAGTGGAAAGTGCTCCGCAGTGGTGCTCTTACCCTTACATTCCTTCCCTAGAAGAGGTGTGTGGTGTGGGTGGACAGATGCATCAGTAATGGCAGGCAGGAAGGACATAAGTGACATGGGAGAGGCAAACAGGACAGGGGCCGAGAAGGTTTCATTTCAATTGGATGTGGGAAACCATGGTACCATCTGCTTTTTGGTTTAAGAAACAAAAGAAAAAAAAGAAAACCAGGTTGTAAAATCCAGGGTCTCTAGCATTAACTGGTGATCCTTCTGTCTCTAAATTGTATCTCCTCTTCTCCAACTCTGTTCCTTCTCCCTCTACATTGACAGACTTTACTTTCAAGAGAAAAGAGAAGCCTTAGATTGGTCTCCTTCCAGCCAGTGAAGCAGGAACTTCCTTGTATTGACAACTATTTTTTTTTTTGTTTTGTTTTCTTTTTGCAGCACTGGGGTTTGAACTTACATCACACTTGTTAGGCAGGTGCTCTACCACTCGAGCTACTCCTCCAGCCCTGTTTCTGTGTTGGGTTTTTTTTCCAGATAGGGTCTCATGAACTGTTTGCCTGGGCTGGCTTCGAACCCTGATCCTTCTGATTTCTGCCTCCTGAGTAGTTAGGATTACAGGTGTGAGCCACCGGCACCCGGCTGACAGCTGCCATTCTTTCCCATTAAACCAGAGGCTTAAGACTGTCCCTCATGGTGTGCACTTGGACCTCTTCCCCCTATTTCTTTCCTTCCTCCCTCCTCCCCTTCCTTCCTTTCTTAGTTCTATGGACTCTGACCTCTTCCTCTAATGTAAACATCTTTTCCCATCAGCCCTAGATGTATTCAGGCTTTTCTCATCTTTGAAAACAAGAATTAAATGGTCTCCACTGCATGTCTACTTCCAATGTCTACAGGTCTATGCCAACTTCCACATCATGGACTTACTAGAAGAGTTTACCCCACTTACTGCCCAGCTCTGCTTTTCCCATCGCTCTCATCGGTTTCTGCTTCCATCACGTCACTTGTTTCTTTTAGAGACAGGGTCTTTCTATGTAGCCCAGGCTTGCCTGGAACTCACAACCCTCCTGCCTCAGTTTATCACGCCACTTATGGTCTCTCCATGGTCACCTGGGTACTTCATTCACAAATTCTCCGGGTACTTCTTAGTCCCTTACTTGGCCTCTCAGCAGCATTAGCAATCATTATGGAACACCCCCCGCCTTTTTTTTCCTTGGCGGTACTGGGGTTTGAACTCAGGTCTTCATGCTTTCTAGGCAGGTGCTCTACCACTTGAGCCACTCCTCCAGCCCACTATGGAACTTTCTTGAGGCATTTTCTTCTTCTCGTCTCTTCTTTGATAGGTGTAGTCTCCCAGTTCCCGCCTACCTCTCTGGTTGCTTCTTCTCATTGTCCTTCGCAGGCTTATTTTGCTCTCTCCTTTTTAACGTGGCTGTTCTCCAGTGTGCCATCCTGGCCTTCTTCCTTTCTGATTTGATAAACGTTCATATACCTCCGTGGTTTAACCACCACATCTGTGTTAATGACTTCAGCCCAGATCCAACATTGGACTCTAGTACCCAGTGTATGTCCACCAAGCTGCTCAAACTCAGTATGTTCTAAATTTAACCCATCAGCCGTCTCTAGCTTCATTCCCACTCCTCAATTATCTTCACCTCCCGTGTTCTCTACCTCAGTGAGTGGTACCAAGATTCTCTCAGTTAACCAGGCCAGAAATCTAGAAGTGCTTCCCAACTTCACCCCATCTTCCCATCAATCCTATGTCCTATTCATTCTCTTCCCAAAATATTACTGGAATCTACCCGCTTCTCTCCATCCCCATTGCCAATACCCTAGGGTCGTGTCACTGTCATCTCTCATGAGGACTACAGACACCTTTAAATCACTCTCTGTATCTGCATTCTTTATCTTTGTTATTTTTTGTTTTCTGGTGGCACTGGGGTATGACTCAGGGCCTCACGCTTGCTAGGCAGGCGCTCTACCGCTTGAGCCACTCCACCAGCCCTCGTATCTGCATTCTTGTTCTTCACCAATCTACTCTTATTCTGCAGCCAGAATCCTTCTGAAACACACCCTGACAATGCCATTGCTCTGTCTGGAATCTTTTAGTGGGTTCCCTTGTCAGCTTCTTAACAAAGTGGACAGCGTCCTTCATGACCTGGTCATGATTTGCATGGCACTGTCATTCACCCCCTAAATCTGGTGTAGCCCTTGGTGAAACAGAATTTGTCTCGGCTACTCCCATGGACCACAGGCCGTCTCACCTTGGAGCCTTTCCTCTGCTTTTTTAGCCTCTACTCCCTCCCTGCTTGTCATGGGCTCATTTGTACGCAGCCTCCAGATCTCAATTCCTGAGTCACCTTCTCAAAGCATCTCCCTGCCACTGTCTAACTGGGGGGCGGTGGGGAGAGGCGCTCTACGTAGCCCATTGTGTGTCATCCTGTGCTTTCCTGGAAAGGAGGTCACCATGCTGCTTTGTATCTGCCTGCCTTGGTCTCTAATGGAAAGTTCTGAGAGCTAGCCCTTGCTGGTTTTGCTTGCTGTTGTATTCTTAGTAGTCACCCTAGTACCAAGCACAGAGTGGGGCCAAATAAATTCTTGTTAAATGAGGTTATAATGAAATGAAGGGGCCAGTGGGAATGTGTACTCTCAGTTGAACAGATTTAGTCAAACTAACTCGGAGCTACTCCCCTGGTGATTGAACTGGTTGTGGCAGGAAGAGATCAACTACCTCTGGAGACAGTCTCCTCAAATGGCTCCCTAAATACCAAGCAAAGTCTCAAACGCCACAAGAAGTGAGACTGCTGAGTTGATCATTTTATGACTAGGGAATTGCCTTTTTAAAATCTGTCTTAAATAACTGAATGTGTCTGTCCACCCCCTCTTCCCACACCCATCCTTCATTTCCTCCCTCCTCCAGGCCAACTTCTCCCCACAGCATGCACTGCCTTATGGGAAATTATCCAGAATTCCTCAGCCTATGCCCGTCAGGACGTTTTTATGCTCATCTTGGTGGAAGCTGTATTACTGTCCATTTTTCAACACTGAAGTTAGCATGGTTTCTGCCTTAGGTTTTCTTGTAGAGTTGTACTGTGTTTACCGAGTCGTTGGAATGTTGTAGGTACAGGCCTTGATGTGAAGGAGAAACACATGCTCTGTCTTCCTCTCTCACTGTAACCCGTAAACACTAGTACTGGCCCTTCTGTCTCACAGGCAGAGGGTGGGCACAATGTTGTCTGACAGTCAAAGTCAACTCGCTTGAGCATGTGTGAAGTGTGGTCTTCTACCTGCGACATGCTCACATGATGTCCTGTTCATCACCAGCTGGAGCTCCAGTAAGGCACTGGTTCCCCAGGGACTGTTCGAGACCCCCTGACTTCGACTCACGTTTCTCAGTCCTCTTTCAGCTGGAATGCCAGGGGTGGGTACCAAGCCTTCAGAGCATGCTCTGCCAGCTCGAGGAGGGTGCAAACAGGAAACAGATGAGGCTCAGCAGGGCACCTGCCAAGGCTGGGCTCCCAGTTAGTTGCTCTTGCTCGAGGGGAGCACTGACCTGCCGACTGCAGATGTAGAGGCCTCACCACAGTGGTGAGAACTGAAATGACTGAAATCAGCCCTCTGCCCTTCAAAACAAAAGAGCAGGCAGAAGTGGAAGGAGGATGGCACAGTCTCAGAGACCATATGTATCCTGCTGGGGGAGCCTGGGAGCTTAATCAATGCACCTACAGGTCCTGGGATCTGACTGTCTTTTCCAGATTTCATCCCTTGGTTGGATACCCGAAAAGGGCTGCAGGGCTGAGACGTTTAAAGCATGAATGGAAAATTTCTAGCTTTCTCTCCCACTACCACCCCCCACACATTGCTCCAGCCCAGTCTGAACACCACGAGGTATTTTAAAATAATTTCTACTTTGATGAATTGCTGGGGAGTCCACAATTGCTCATAATCAAAGGGAGAAAAATGCAAATGAGATCCGGCCGAGAACTATCACCACCAAACGTTTATTTCATTGCACAGTGCCAAAAAGAATTAAAACAACATTAAACTCACAGCAATCATGTTTAAGCCCTCGTTTCCAAGTGCCAAATTGCACCACTCTGGATCATACAGATGTTCGTTAATTATGCTAATTTTTATTAAACTATTAAAATGGAGAGAGTACTGGTTCAGCCAG